CTATAACTTGACATAATGTCTGTGCCCAACGTGATTCATTATATTAATCACAAAATTAAAATGTAAGCACAAACCAGCAGGAGTGACAGAGTGAATTCATAAAAGGGGGGAGCATCGAAGTCCCCACAGTGATCAAGACTTAACCTTTGGGAATTTACATATTGGACTGAAAAGTCTAGAGCCCAATGGAGCGCCAAATTTAAGTCTTCCGCTTTTATAAACCAGGCTAAATATGTGACTTTGTCATTTCATCATGTAAATTAAGTGTGCACTTCTAAAAATCAGTGACTATCTTAGAATAAACTCTTCAACGAGAATTTCTCAGGGCCCTTGATTTGGAAAACCTCGTTCTGGGGGCTTAGAGAAGGTGATTAAGACACCTCCCTGGCCTTGAACCTACAGCCCAGTGTGGAGAGTGAGCACTAACACGCATAGGATCAGAGCAAAAGCACCCCACGGCACTGACAGCTCTGCTCTGCTCTGCTCTGCTGGGTGGTACAGTCAGCACCATTTTTCAGAGGCTGAGCGAGATTAGGAGCTGGGCTACCAGCGAAGGTGGAATTGATTCTGACAGGATAGCGTCATTCTCAGCAGCTCAGGCTCTGACGTCTCACGGGCCTGAGGTCGAGTCCCAGCTCAGCCACTCCTCAGTGGTATGAGCTCAGGGGAAGCTGGCTGGCTTCTCTGAGCCTCCGTTTCCTCATCTGTCAAACAGTGATACAGACAACACCATATAAGAGGCTCTCTGTGAAGACTGAATAAGTTGATGCCCCACCTTCAATAGACCGTAGTTATCATTTTCGTTATTGTACCACCGCCACCACCACCTTTAGAGGGTGGGAAGGTGTTGTCGAGATTGGAGTCAGCATTCCAGGGGAAGGAAAGGCAGAAGGAGTGGATGTGTGGAGGTGGGGAGGACCTCTGCACTCGACTTCTAGGCTGGGAAGAGCTGGCACGGCCAGAATAGAGAGCAGTTCTTCGTATGTGTAGGGTGACAGGCTGGGCAAGGGGGTAGGACCCCACTGGGGGCAATCTCGATAATCCCGGTAGAACCCTGTACCTTGATTCTGGGAAGACAGTGCGCCTTGAAAGATTCAGACAGTGATATCGGTCTGTACTGCAGTGACAACAGGAAGCTCACCCATGATTTGCTCATTGATTGGGCTGCAGCATAGGAAGTAAAGCTGATCCTCACCTCTGTGTTCATACCCCACTCACCGTTCTTCTAATAAGGCCTCCAGAACAGAAGACAGACCCAGGACAGTTACACTGGGGCTGCTTCTGGGAACCTGTCTGTCCTGCAGCTGTCTCAGCATTTCTGCAAACTCAAACTAGATGAAGTCTGGCTTAGCCGTTTTTTTTTTTCTTTTCACACCCCCACTCACATACTTATCCACCGATGGCCATGGCAGGACAGGTGAGACCAGGCTTTAATTGTGAGAGGAAATAAATCAGTGAAAGACTGTTGTTTTTAAGGAGTAAACTCCTTTTGTTTCTCTAATAGAGAAGAGAACCAAGGCTGTGAAAGGAAAAACAGTCTGACTCAGGATGTGGGTCGAGAGCGAGCATTAGCTCTGTGAGGAGACTCTCCAGGTTCTCGATATTTAGGATACTAATATTTGTCTTCTTAATTCCCCAGTGGGATATGTTTTTTTAAATTCAAGGATAGGATTAATTATCTTGGAAGAATCTAATCTCTACCCTCATGTTTTAAACTGCAAGCAGGGAGACGTTTTAAACATTATGAAAAGAGGAGGAAATCTCTCCTGACAAATAAATGCCTTGAAAAATTAGATATTAGTACCAGTCAAGTGCTCTTTCTTTTCAGAAATATAAAAATTGCACATTAGAGTGGAAGGGATCCTTATACCATGCTCCCTCCTCATGCCACAAAACATAAGACTTTAGGATCACTTTCAGAGACAAAAGATTATATGAAACATCCAGCTCTTCCCCTGATGGGAAATTTCTTTCCTTTTTTTTTTTCACATCCCAGGCTCAATCATTTCCTAATGTGAAATTACAGATTTTTCAAATTACCATATAAAACTGCAAAAAAATTACACTGGTGACCACAGAGAAGATAGCATATACTATCAATTTGATTTTAAAAGGCATACATCTTTTATACTACCTGTCATTTTTATAATGCCTTTTACAAATTTAATCAATACATTTTAACATTCTATATACTTTAAGTGCAATATACAATAAATATTCAAGTTTCATCTTAAACATGCTTTAGCCTTTAAATTGTTAAAACTGCACTGCCCTTTCAATCTACTTACATAATGTCATAAAATATACATTTCAAGGTAAATGAAGTCAGCTACTTCAATTTAGTCCCTCAAACTGGTAGTAAATGAGAGGTTAACACTATGGTGCCAAACCCATTATTGAGTAAATTTAGCACCTTGGACAGCTCTGTAAAATCTTTATTGCTTTCCTGACCTGCTCGTCATGTTCTGTCTGTGTGTTCAGTGGCTCTCAGCTCTGATTGAAAGGCAATATATTAGATCCCCAACACAAACACGCTTGGGGGCTAGTTCACCGGGCGCCGAATGACACGGAGGCGAGAGCAATTTTCTGGTCACCGAAATCTGAGCGCCTCGCAGGTCCGTGGCACTGCCTCGCAGAGGACCCAGGCATTTCCTCCCCCACTCCCCATCTGCGGAAATAATGAATGGCACTGGACCACGCTAGCCAAGCAGAACCAAACCTGGGCCGTCCCACACCCCCCCACGTCGATGCCGTAGGGGAGGGCGTTTTGAAATGGGGGAGCTAGCATGGGGCGGGGGGCACCGCTGTCCTCGGGTGTGAGGCAGTGCTGGGCTGGTGACCCCCCCGGGTGGCCGTGCACCTGGTGGGAGAGCGCAGCCCCGCCTCACGGACCAAAGAGGGGGTCAACCTTAGGAAACAAGATTCAGGTGGTTCATTTTCAAAGGATTAGTGGCGATGAGAGCTCTGGGTATCAACATAAAGAGAAAAAGAAAGAAGTGGATTAAGTCACTGAAATGGTCTATCACCAAAAATGTGTGAGATTAAAATATATAGCATACACAGGTAGCTGGCATGTTTTCGGGTTTACAAAAACTTCAAAGATCTTGGGCTTTTCAGATCTCTGGGTCTGTGAAGTTCATTAACGTAAGCGGCCCCACGCTAAGTCCTCTGCCGCGGTGTTCCAGGATTGAAGTTCGCAAGTGCGGAACCTGCACCTCCTCTTGCTTCTGACAAACAGGAGACTTGTGTTTTATTTTTTCTTTAAATGAAAACAAAAATACTTTCTCCACCGAGTCCAAACATTGGCATAAATATTTATTTGATGAAATAAATGAACATAGACCCAGAGAAGTAAAATCTTAGTAAGTACATTCTCTCGATCCTATTTTGTCTTCCTATCTTCGGAGAGCCAGAGAGCGCCACCAGGTTTCAGCGTGAGCGGCAGAGGCTGAACTTGATCTGGGGGTCGGGTTCGGTGTGCCGGCACCATAGTAAATTATTCACCGCTGTGGTCAGACAACACTGCAAACAAAGACTGGTGAATTATCTGGTAGCCCGCATTAGAAAAATAAAGAAATTATTTCAGATGTATTGATTCAAGCCCCATTGATTCTATAAAGCTTTCCACTCCTGCTATGAAAAATAACTGAACGGGTTTATAAATGGATTCTGGCCGTGTAAGGCAAGCATGAATGTTTCGTAAGAACTGAAAACCCCTCTCTCTCATTTTTGGATTTAGGATGTTATATGTGCCACAAGTCGCTACTACAGCACAACTATTTTATCTTAGACTGTGGGGAATGTAAAATCGAGAGATGCTAATACGTACCTAAAAGCTTGTCATTTCAAGAGTGGTTCCGGAATTTTTGAAGAGGCCGTGGCGATGGCCAAATGAGTGCAATTATGTCCCTATTTTCTGATCGGCAGCTCCAGTATTCGAATGTGGAACAGTACTGCTTCTCCAGTCTGTTCTGTAAAAATACTTGAAGTTAAACTTAGGCTTGAAATTTTACCCGCAGCAAAAAAATCGTAAACGTACCTTTTGCACACCACCTCTGATCATCACTCACGCCTTCCCATTCGGTGTGCTGGGCAGCCTCCACAGGACACGGATCGAGCTTAACTCTCCTTTCCCTGTTCCCAGTGTAAGTGACTACAGGAAACTGGGGCAGCGTGCGGCGGGGAATGACTGGTTTGGTTAGAACAAAAAAAAAAATTACCACCACACACACTTTTGTAGAGTGCCCTATATTGTAAGAAAGAAGCGCCACGCTAACTATGGAAGCCCACCCAAAGAAAGGGAGGGTGGTCTTTTCTCTTCAACTGGGGCTGACAGCAGAACCCACATCTGGGAGGAGAAGGAATGAGCCAACCGGGAAAATGACAAGCGATGCTGAAATGGATGAGTCACTGTAAAGGAGCCTGTGCCGGTCATGGCTACTGGCACGGAGAACCCTCCTGCAAGAGCCGGTGACAGACGGTGCGTCGCGCCGGTGTATGTGTTCACCGCGCCACCCCCTCGTATCATGGCTCTGCCACACCAGGGAGATAGAGAAAAGCAGGTTAATGCTACATGCTTCTAGTAGCGGAAGATTGATTGGAAATCCCTTGAAAATGACCTGCCAGATAAGGTCATGGTTCCTGGAATAAGCAATTAAGTGCAAAATAAACACATCTTAGGGATTCATAACATGCACTGAACGGCATCGATTGTAGCCGTCTAGTAAATGACCTCGCAATTGTATTCGGCAATAAACATATGAGTGCTTCTTCGAGCCCGCGGCGGGCGACGGAGGGGCGCATTTTATATTGCGGCGCCAACGATGCGCACCTTCGACTGGATTCAGTGTGCGTGTGCGAACAGGGACGAGTGGGTGATTGAACGCCATTCCGGGGCTGAGCGGCGCCTGCGCAGAGTGTGGCCGGAGCTGCAGCGTGGTCACGGCAAGGACCCCTGCCTCCTGCACTCAGAGGACTCTTCCTGTTTTCTTTCCTGACAGGAGGTCATCCTCAAAAGGGCCGCAGACCTGGTAGAGGCGCTGTATGGGATGCCGCACAACAACCAGGTGAGCGTGGGGGGCCTCGAACCCGTGCGGGCTCCCGCGTCCGCCCGAGGGTCTCGGGCTCCTCGGCGCAGGGAAGAAGTACGATAAATAGAAAAGCCCCTCGCGTGAGTTCAGAGCTGGCGTCACTCAGACTTGGGAAGTTACCAGTTTTCTCTCTTCTTGGGTAAATTTTTTTAATTGCCTCCTCTACAGGATCCTTTTTCTTACGAAATCTTCCGTGGGAATGTACTTCACCAAGGAGGCAGAGAGTTTCTCTTGCTCTGCTTTATTCCTCTCAGGTTTTCAAGCAAATTGAGGGGGGTTCCTTTCTTCTGAAAGTGTAACAAGACAGGAATATAATTCTCTGCCTCTATGTGTCCTAGAGTGGGCCTGTGTGTATGATGCAAGTCGCTCAGGAAACTAGGAGTGCGACAAATTGTTCCCTCCTTTTTGTGTCCCCTGAGTCAATGTCCAGGGGACGCTGTCCCACCAGCGCTCAGGGACACGGGCAGTTTTCTACGACCTGCCCTGGACTTCAGCAGGAGGGATGAGTTGCAGCCACCCGTGTGTGTGTGTGTGTGTGTGTGCACTGGTGGGGGGACAGGTGTGGCCCCAGAGCCCCTGCGTGTCACTGGGGAAGGGTGGGGGAGGGAAACCCGTGGTGCCGGCCTTGACTGCAAGGTCATCGGGGGGAAAGGCTTCCATAATGGCCTCCCAAAGTCAGCCAAGCAGGACTCTGCAGCCCAGCTCTGTCCTTAAAGAGGTGGCTCTCTTGGGGTGAGGTCCTCACTTCCAGGACCCTCAGTCGCCCCATTTGGGATTGGGCGTGATGATGATGGGGCTGAACCCAGAGATTTGCAGAGAGGGGTGCGGGCGTTAACAGCGTCGGTGAGCCCCAGCAAGCCTGGAGCGCCGGGGCCCTGCAGGGCGGCTCCCGGGAGAGCGACTGGGGCAGCTAATGGGGGTTGTCCGCCTCCGTTTCAGGAGATAATTCTGAAGAGAGCGGCCGACATCGCGGAGGCCCTGTACAGCGTCCCCCGCAACCACAGCCAGCTCCCGGCCCTCACTAACACTTCGGTCCACGCGGGAATGATGGGCGTGAATTCCTTCAGTGGACAGCTGGCCGTGAATGTCTCCGAGGCGTCGCAGGCCACCAACCAGGGTCAGGAGCCTGCTCCCCGCCCCCATTCCCTGTCCCTTCCCAACCTCAAGCTACCCACCCCCGAATTCTTTGGCCCCAAACAATTTTTACTTAAAAATTTTTTTTTCTAAAAGGGGAGATTCCCAGTTTGTGTGCATCAGATACTATTGTAGCATTTTGGTTCTAGCTATTCTGTCTGGTGGTCTGGTCGAGGGGGCTGGAAGGTGGGCGTGTGGAGCCCTCTCACCACTAGGCTCCCCACCGTGGACCATGAATGACAGATCGCAGAGAGGGCTGGAATTAAAGTTCTCAGGGGCCAGAGCCCATCATCCTCGCCCAGGGAATAGGAACCTGTTAGCTTCAGGGCATGGCTCACAGATTGGGATTTATTTCTGCTCCAAAATGATAATTTATAGGCCCTGCATTGCCACTTCTCATGGCCCTGCTAAGTATTTATGATCTCCTAAGAAATGCACCTTGTACTCACTTCCCATTTTAATCACAGAGCTCAGGCCACCAACCCACACCCATCAATCACCCGACCCCTTCCCTCCGGGACGCCGTGAGGGGCCAGGAAACAGAGCCCTCCCCTGCCCCAGTCTTCCAGGACAGGATTGCCACCCATTGGGACACCACCCTCACCCCTGGTTTTGTCCCCACCCCTCAGGTTTCACCCGCAACTCAAGCAGCGTATCGCCACACGGGTACGTGCCGAGCACCACTCCCCAGCAGACCAACTATAACTCCGTCACCACGAGCATGAACGGATACGGCACAGCCGCCATGTCCAATTTGGGCGGCTCCCCAACCTTCCTCAACGGCTCAGCTGCCAACTCACCCTACGCCAGTAAGTAGAGATGCGGGTCCTGCCTTCTTGCACGCTTTCGTGCAGAGCACTGGGCATCGTACGCGGCACCCCCGCCCTGCCCGGCACGGACCCCGGGATGCCACTGAAGGCAGCACCGTCTCCAGCAGAAGTCGCTACCCTCCCTGGCTCAGTTCCCCCCCCCAAAGCCTCCCTCACTGCCAGAACTTCACTGCAGCTCCAAGCAGGAGTGTGGTATCATCACAAGATCTCAAGCTCAGAGTCAGATGGAGATGGTCACTAACCAGTGACCCCGGGCAAGTTCATCTCCTCTCCAAGCTTCAGCTTTCTCACCTGTAAACTAGGGAGGAACTAGCCTCCCTGCCCCCATAGAGCTGCTGTGAGACCCTGACCAAACAAGGCATGCAGTGCGCATGTCCTGGTGCCCGGCCCGCGGGAGGCACACTCACTAAGCCTGCATGCTCACCACGGCGATGGGGTGACAGTAGTGAGTGGTGCTGGTGACACGGCACAGTGCCAATGGCCTGGAGCCTCAACTCTAATGCTTGGAATTAAGAATTTTCCCCTTTGTGTTTGAGGTTTTAAAGAAAAAACAGCCTTGGAAAAATACACTTTATTTTTCCCCAAAGCTCTGGCGCAATGAACACACACACACAAACACACACACACATACACACACGAAATATCCTTTGGTGCCCGCATCTGTCTGAAAGAAGTTTAGCTTAAATCATTTTTGGTGCCACATTTAGATTGCACTTGGAGGACCCCAGCGATCTGGCACCTTTACATATAAAAGGTCACGTATCTCTGCGGTCTCTTCGGCCGCCTCTGAGGAGGGCTACACAGATAGACAGCCGAGTTCTGCGTGGACAGTGTGGGTGACGCTTCTGGTGTGTGACACGCGGCCAAACTCTTACCCACTCAGAGAAGGATAGAAGATGTGTTGTTAAGTGAAAGGATATTCATGATTTTTTTCAAAATAGAGTGTCTTGGCTAAAACCAAAAGTTACCTCTGTCGCTAGTAGAGGAAAGGTAGAGCACTACTAATCCCTGGGACGAGGAAAGCTCAGGCCGGGCCTTTCAAGGAAGGTGGTTCTGAAAGCAATCCGTAGAGCCTTTTGCCGTCTCGGTGAGTTTTCATGCACAATGTGAGCTGAAGTTTTGTATTTCTACTTTGTTTGGAATCAGCTGGTTGAACATTTAAAATACCTCCCCCCCCCTTGCCCCCAATAACCTGCTTACATTATGTCTTTCTGCTCAAAACTCGACCTTTGGGGCCAGTCCCGCCCAGAGTTTGCTTCGCGGGAGGATCATTTCTTGTAGAGCCATCGTTCCAGGGGTCTCCCGTCTCCTCAGTCAGAAAATGTTTCAATCATGACCTGAAAATTAAAAGGTGGAATTCTTAATTAAATCAATAAACTAATTGCTATATGGTAGCAATTCAATTTAAGGGCTTGGATTGCTCTGTCTTCTCGAGCCCGTGCAGACACCCGGCAACTTCGGTCTGAGATTGCATCTGTCAGCCTGTGAAACTTCGAACGTTTAATTTCCATTAATTGATTTCCTCGGTGCTCACAAATATAGTATTAAATCCTCAAATAGGCTCTCAGATGGGACAGTTTCATCTGCATAAATGCAAATAAAACAATAAACACAGGGCCCAGCTGATTTGAAATTTTTGCCTCCATAATATTTAATTATTCATAAAGCGCTCATGTTGAAAAAAATCTCTCACGGAATAAAAAAATAAGACATTCCACTGGTGAGCCCACTTTCTGGTGTGGCGGCCGATAACTAATGATGTTACAACAAATGGAACTGCGTGGCCGTATTTCACCCCCCCCCCTCTGTTCGCCACCCCCACCAGACTCCCCACCTCTACCCACACATCGCAGCCACATTTGCCGGGGAGATTAATTGCCTTCCTCAGTGAACCAGCAGGATTTCAAGTCAACGAATATTCAAAAATCAAACCTCCAGCGCAGGAGGCATGCAACTTAAGTGGGTATTATTATCGAGCGTGTTTTCACATTCACAAACCCTAAGAGATGTATGGAAACGCTGGCCTCATTGAAAGAAAAAGTCAGTTGAGATGATGTTTGGGGAAGCCCCCCCCGCCCGAGGACGGCAGCCCGGTGTGTTCTGCTTCACAGCGCCGTGGGTGGGCTTCGACTGCACCGCTGAGCTGAGGACGGATTGCCGGGGGTCGTCTCCTCCGAAGGCAGTCGCTGTCTGTGGCTGATGTGATTCCCACTTCCTTAACTTTCCAAAGTCATCGGGCCAGTGGCGAGGACACCTAGACGGCCTTTGGGACCTTGGTGGGCTCCTGGGAGGGGGGAAGTGCTTTTTCCCTGGCACTCTTTTCCCCTCGCAGGGCAGTGTGGCAGAAAGAGCGCTGAGTAGGGGCTTGCTTCCGGTGGCCCATTCTAGCTGTGGTCCTGGGGCAACTCACTCGACTGTGTTCTGAGTTTCAGTTTGCTCAGGTGTTAAAAGGATGTAATAGGCCCCAATTTAAGCTTGCTCGGCCAATGACATAAGAGGAAAAAGAGATGAGGATTCTTGTGAGTGAGAAAGCAATCTATAATGGTCATAACATAATGTGGAAAGTAGTAACCCAGTAGCAGGAGGTACCTAGAACTTGAATGAAGTGCCCGGGGGCCACTGGGCAGCACTGATACTGTTCCCCAGGAGATGACGGGGACCGAAGGTGAGTGGCTGAAAACTCTAGTCTTGAGTGTAGAGGACTCAGTGTGTGCAAAATCTGTCTCCTAAAGTCATCAGGTTGTTAGCAGCCTGCGAAAGGTGAAGAGCCAGGCTGCGTGCACCGTGGCTGGTGGAGAAGGTGCGTCTCCCTGGCTCTTTCACGTCCGCAAGCACCCAGGTGTCCTTTCTGGGAACTGCTGAAGTTGACTCTCCCGTCACTGAAAATCTACATCCCCACTCCCACCAGACTGGGAGTGTTTACACAAGGCTCCTACCCTACTGCTTATTAATTCACAAGCATGAATCTTCCGCTCCGTGGGAGCTAGAAGCAATTTGCAACTCTGACTTGTAGTTCTGCACCAGCCACAGAGGTTGCGTGTGCTGGTCTGTTGATCCGCTTTGTTTCCTACCCGCCCACCTCTGTGCTGTGGAGCATTCAGGGGCACGCATGGCCTTAAGGAGCTCGCAGCCTCATGGGGAGAGAAGGAACACACACACCACCAGCTCCCAGGGCCTTCGGCTGGAATCCAGGTGTCGCCTCCAGTCACCCTCCCTCCTCATGCCTCTCATTCCATCGGGGACCAGGCCGTCTCAAGCTGGCCGCCTATCTGATACCCCCACCTCCTTGCTGGAACCTTAGATTAGGCCTTTCCTAGAGTGCTTTCCCTGACACCTCCTCTGGGAAGCCTTCTCTGGCTTCCCTTCCCTGCCTCCAGAATTGGTCACGTTCACTGTTGTCGCTATTTTGTGCTACTCTCTCCCTTGTAAGAGCACTGTGTCTCCTGGCCTGGGGCGCCTTAGTGCCCAGCGTGCTCCTGGGACATAGTAGACCCACAATAAACACACAGAAGATTGCCATCCAAAAAAGGTAGCACAGGCCAAGTACCAAATGATGAAAGCAGACCAGCATTCAGGGAAGGCTTGGGCTGCAGGGGAGGCCTGAGCAGGGAGGTGGGCGGAGGGGTGGGGCCGAGCCACCTGGCTGCGCTGGGATGCCGCGGGAGGAGCTGACTTGTGCTTTCCCATTGCCCCTCCCAGTTGTGCCATCCAGCCCCACCATGGCCTCTTCCACAAGCCTCCCCTCCAACTGCAGCAGCTCCTCTGGCATCTTCTCCTTCTCACCAGCCAACATGGTCTCAGCCGTGAAACAGAAGAGTGCTTTCGCACCAGTCGTCAGACCCCAGACCTCTCCGCCTCCCACCTGCACCAGCACCAACGGGAACAGCCTGCAAGGTAAGCCCCAGGCCCCAGCAGGCCAACCAGATGCCCTGACTCCACCCTCCCAGGGCCCAAAACAGATGCCTCTCTGCTGCCCAGAGGCCAGCGTGGGCCTGCCTGCTTCTCTCTGCCCTCATCTGCTGGGCCCTTTTGTGCTCGCTCTCCTTGGCCCTGGCCCCCGGCCCTGCCTGTCCCCCCTCTGCTGCTGTGGCCTGAGCAGCCCTCCTTCCGACTGCAGCAGTTCTGCTCAGGCCCCGGGTTTGCTTCAGAATACTGTTTGCGCTCACTAATGCCATCGTTTCTCTTTTCTCCTCTCTCATTCCCTGTGGTCGCCATGAGCAGACCAGTCTTTTGTGGACTCTAGCAAGTTCTCCACTGCAGGGTCTCTCCCGGGACTGGCCTTCTCCTGAAGTAGGTCACTCAACCTTTCCTTCCTGTTGGCTGTGTCGGAGTGAACGTGTGTGCGGCTGAGCACGGGGCGCGGGGAGCCACGGCCTGATCGGAGCCTGACCTTAGGGCCTGGTAGACGCCCCAGACTTTCTTCTGTCCCCCAGAGTGTTCAGGTTCCTAGTCAGATGGTCCCTTCTCTTCCCCCTCGTGGAATATAGAAGAAAACAACAGTCACCAAGAGTGGAAGTGACCTTTTTGTTCACTGAGAAAAAAAGCAACCCACTTTTAAAGTGGGCCCGACATTTCTCACATTCTGCTTGCGTGCTGGCGTTGTGGGGTGGGGTCGACCCACACGACCTCATTCGCTCTCCCGCAGCAGCGCGGCGTGAGAGGTGCCTGCAGCCCCTGCTGCGGAGATGAGAAAATGAAAGTGTCGGGAGGCGACCAGAGTGCATGGCTTCCGACAGCTGGTGTGGCAGAAGCTGGCTTGAAACTCAGGCTCAAACGTTCACCTCTTTCCATCTCCCGAGCACTTTATTACTGGGGCGGGGGCGGGGGAAGGATGTGTCCAGATTCCTAAGACAGCTGGCAGGGAAACAGCATCAATAAGATCATCTGCTGCCATTTTCTGAGCCCTGGGGAGGAAACTGTGCTCAAGACTGAGCGCGCTGTATCTTCACCCGCACCACTTCCTGATGAAGCAGGAGGACTGCTGTCCGCTCCATGGTGCAGATGGCAGCAAATACCTGCCCACAGGCCCAGCCAGTCAACGCTGGGCACGAATGTCAAGCCAGCAGGGTCCGTGCCCCTAACCCCTGGCCTACATAGCTCCCCAGGTGCCTTCCTTCAGTGGCTGGTGCGCTCACCTTCACTAATGGAGGTCCGCAGGCTTGTTTGGGACTTCTCAGCCCTGTTTCTTGTGGATAAGCATACGTATATTTATTTATACATATACACACATGTACTCTGTGCCGCACGCTTTACGTTGGTGTAACCTTGTATCGATGCTCCCGAAAGCCCTATGAGGTCAGTGCTATCTCCCTTGTACAGACGGGGAAATGAAGGCCCAGCTCGCTCAAGATCACACAGCTAGAGCTGGTGGGAATCCACACCTGGTGACTCCAGAACCTGAGCTCCTGATCGCTGTGCCCGTGTAACTGCAGAAGGGCAAGGCACACTGTTCCTGAGAAGCCTGCTCGCGGGTCTGCCCCGCACAGCCAAAGGCCGCGCCCAGGAAGTGTGCCTGCGCCCCTCCCTCGCGTACACACGGGCGACGCCATCCTCTCAGAGGGAAGAGGAGGACGATCTGCCCGTGGGACTGCACCTACGTCTCAGGCAGTGTTGTCCCTGTTAGGAAATGCCCACCTCCACAGCGGGGTCTCACCCATTCCTGCAAGTCTCACTTTAGCCAAAAATAATGCCTTGTCCCCCTCCTGATGCCTCCAGCTAGCAAACGAGGGATATAATGCTTAAGTGGACATAACTCATAGTGGGTTTTAAATAAGGATAAAACATACGGGAAGCAGAAGTTTGCTGTCTTTGAGCCGCCCGTCGCCGTCTTTGCTGAGCACAGATCAGCCGTCAGGGACAGCCGCTGAGAGGCGAGAGGCGGTGCTGGGCAAGCCATGGGCCTGGCTGGTGTGGCTCAGCTGGCGGGAGCGTCATCCTGTGGCTGGGCGGTGGCGTGTCGAGTTCGCAGTCAGGGCACGTGCCTCGGTGGCGGGGTGACCCCTGGTCCCGGCGCGAGCGTGTGCGATCCTGGTCTGGGCACGTGTGGGAGGCAACCAGTCGGTGCCTCTCTCTGGCGTCGATGTTTCTCTTTCTCCCTCCCTCCCTCTCTAAAAGCAATGAAGACAAAAAAATGTCCTTGGGTGAGGATGAAAAAAAAACAATGAAGGAAGAGAACGCCCCTGGGAAGGTCAGCGGTCGCATCACCGGCCAGCAGTGTCTGGAGCGAGCAGCCCGCCGAGGAGGGAGAAAGGGCAGAAAACAGGGAGTCAGCCGGCCTAGATTTCGGAACCTCCTGGGTTTAGGGAACATCTGGGCGTGCTGGGCGGTGTGTGTAAGTAGTGTCGACATGGCTTTAAGACGGGGACACATGCAAAGTCTGTGCACTTGTCACTCCCCGGGGCATTTCTCACCCAAGTCCGCACAGATCCCCCAACAGCCCGGGTTATCCCCACTCCTGATTACCAGCCATGCCCCTGCCCCCTTTCTAACACGCAGCTGCGGGGCATGGGGCGTCTGGGGCTCCCCCAGGAACACGCTGCCAGGATCTGCTGTCGTGGACAACGCTCCCCTTTCCTTCTTCTGATGGAGCATGTGTCCGGGAGAGTCTTTCTGGTGGCTTTTGGTTGTCCAACACTGTCAAAGACCAAAGGTCCCTAGTTTTGGGGAGTGGCAGCGGAGGCGGTATAAGTAGAGAAATCAAAGTCAATTTTGATACCATCCTTCTTCCTGCCCCCTGCCCGCTCCACTCCCAACCATGACACTCCCCTGGCAGGGACCCGGTGCCCGCCCCGCGCACGCTCCTGGCAGCCGCGGATGCGCTGCACCACTAGTTCCAGGGAGCTCCTGCTCGGGGCCCTGGGTCTCAGCCACACTAGCCCCAGGCAAGCCCTCAGGCTCTATGGCTACACTAGACTCAAGCCACCGGGCCAGGCCCACGTAGACAATAGGATCCTGACCTTAGAAACTTCCCCCATATTACGAGAAATGCAGCAGCTCAGTAAAGAGGGAAGGTCTGTCTGGGAGAGGCTGGGCGCCAAGCTGTGGGAGTTCAGAGGGGAAGATTAGGGGGAATTCAGAACAGCTTCAGGGAGAGGGTTGCCTTTGAACTGGACCTAGGACTAGGGCCAGGGGGATGGAGGGCCAGGGGGATGGAGGGCCAGGAAGGGGCATCTAAGCAGAAGGACTAGGGTAACCTGAGAAGAGTCATGGGCAGTAACCAGTAGGCCAGGAAGCAGCGATAACGTTGAGCAAGGAAGTCCTTAATTTGAAGTCATAAGCCCCATTCTTTACATATACATTATACTTCATAGTTTCTACTCTGATCTCACCTGGCTTTCTTTTCAGGTAGGTGAAACCTTTGACAACTTACCTTTTGTCTTGAGTAGTTTTTTTTAGGATGAAGCAACTCTTGATCTCAGCACTTCTGGAGTCTCCCCAGGTGCTCTGTTAAAAAAAAACAAACCTTAAATGTTGTGGTCAAACAAATCCAGACGGTGGTGCTCACTGACACACTGTCTTGGAGGTCACCCACAGCGCACCCAAGCTGACTCAAGGCTCCTTGACCCCTGCAGTTAAATGGGAGAGACTATTCCATTTGCTGCTCCATCTACTCTTCTGAACTTCTTTGCCCACAGAATCTTCTGCCAAATGTGAAGACCAATGAACATCCATTAAAAAAAGTTGGGAAATGCAGCTGTGTTCTGTTTTGGGCTTAAAAGAGAAAATGCAGAGAAACCTTCCATTCTTTTCTAGATGAGTTCATTGATGGATCCTGATTCTAGAATCCCCGAGTGAGTCTGTTGTCACGGGTCAGACCTGAGTCACCTAGCATGCTGTTATAGAGACACCCCCCCCTCCTTTTCCTAAAGCCGAGGCCCCCTGGAGCAAGGAGTCTCTGCAGTTTCAGGCCTCAGAGGACTTCTTTAATCAAGAGACGGCAGCCCTGAGAAGGCTGTCACCATGCCATTGGTCCTTGCTCCGGTGCGGTGATTTTAACCCTGACCATGTCGTTGACAGTCAGTGCAGAGGAAACAAACAACAACAGGCTAGAGTGTCCACATACTGACTTCTTTTCTTCACACACTTCGGTGAGACCCAAGCTGGCCAGCCCCACGTGACTCTGGACAGCCATGCCATCCAGTAGCGAGTCCTGTAGAATTGTCTTTTTCTTGATGCACATGTTTGTTCAATCTGTGTAGGGTCTTCCCTCACTCTGTTTCTGGTTAGCTCACAACTCTTACTCATGGGGTGGCTCGAGGAAGACCACATTCCACCCCGTCATTCCAAAGTCCCCCAGCTCTGCAGAACTTCCCATTTTTGTCTTATTCTTACCAAAATATGGGAACTGTACTGATGGAAGCACTGCCTTTCTTTTAAAAAAAATACGTTATTGTGTGTGCTAGTACAGTCATCCCAACTTGCCTCCTCTGCGCCCCCCACCCACCCTGCCCCCACTCCCACGTCAATCCCCACACTGTTGGCCACGCCCGTGGGTCCTGTTCTTTGACTAACCCCTCCACCTTCTTTCACCCAGTCCCCTCCTTCTCCCCACGCCCGGCAGCTGTCAGTCTGCTCCATGTTTCTAGCCTTCTGATTCTATTTTTGCTCTTTAGTTTTATATTTTGTTCATTAGGTTCCAGTTATTAGTGAGGTGATGTGGTATTTGTCTTTCACCAATTGGCTTAGTTCACTTAGCATACTAGGTTCCAGTTCCACCCATGCTGTCACAAAAGGTAAGAAATCCTTCTTTCTTTCTCGCTCTGTAGTATTCCATGGTGTAAATGTACCACAGTTTTTTAAGCCACTCATTTGCTGATGGGCACTTAGGCTGCTTCCAAGTCTTGGCTATGGTAAAGAATGCTGCTCTGAACATAGGGGTGCATATATTCTTTTGAACTGGTGTTTCGGGATTATTAGGGTGTATTCCCAGAAGTGGAATTGTTGGGAAATAAGGCAGTTCCACCTTGAATTTTTGAGGAAACTCCATACTGTTTTCCACAGTGGCTGCACCAGTCTGCATTCCCACCAACAGTGCACTAGGGTCCCCATTTCTCCACATCCTCGCCAGCACTTGTTTGTTGATTTATTAACGATGGCCATTCTGACCGGTGTGAGATGGTACCTCGTTGTGGTTTTGATTTGCATCTCTCTGATGGCTAGTGAAGTTGAACATTGTTTCATATGTCAGTGGGCCATCTGCATGTCCTCCTCGAAGAAGTGTCTATTCAGGTCCTTTGCCCATTTTTAAATTGGATTGTTTGTCTTCCTGGTGTTGAGTCCTGTAAGTCCTTTATATATTGTGGAGATTAAAACATTGCGTGACGTTTTGTTGGCAAATATGTTCTCCCACATGGTGCGTTCCCTTTTCATTTTGATGCTGGTTCCTTTAGCTGTGTAGAAGCTTTTTGATTAGATGTAGTCATATTTATTTTTTCCTTTGTTTCCCTTGCCCTAGGAGATATATTGGCAAAAATACTGCTACACAAGATAATCTGAAATTTTACTGCCTCTGTTTTCCTCTGGGATTTTTATAATATCACAACTTATATTTAAGTCTTTTATTCATTTTGAGTTTATTCTGGTGCATGGTGTAAGCTGGTGGTCTAGTTTCAGTTTTTTGCATGTAGTTGTCCAGTTCTCCCAACATCATTTACTGAAGAGGCTATTTTTCACCCCGTTGTATGCTCATGCCTCTTTGTTGAATATCAACTGACCACAGAAACCTGGGTTTATCTCTGGGCCCTCTGTTCTGTCCACTGGTCCACGCGTCTGTTCTTATGCCGGCGCCAGGCTGTCTTGGTGACAGTGGCCATGCCGTGCAGTTGGACACCAGGTGTTGTGGTCCCTCCTGCCCTGCTCTGCTTTCTCAGGACTGCTGAGGCTCTGTGGGCTCTTCATGGTTCCACAGAAATGTTGGGAGTATTTGTTCTAGATCTGTGAACTATGCCACTGGTATTTTAATAGGAATTGTATTGAATCTATAGATTGCTTTGGGTAGTACGGTTGTTTTAATGATGTTAATTCTAATCCATGAACTCGGTATGTGCTTCCACTTATTTGTATCTTCCTCAACTTCTTTTTTCAGTGTCCTGTAGTTTTCCAAGTACAGGTCTTTTACCTCCTTGGTTAAATGTATTCCTAGGTAGCTTTTTTTTTTTTATTGCAATGGTAAATGGGTTTGTTTTCTTAGTTTCTCTTTCTGATAGTTCATTAGTAGTGTATAAAAATGTCATCAATTTCTGAGTATTGATTTTGTATCCCGCTACTTGAAAACAGCACAGCCTTTCACACCAATAGTCTTCCAAGCTTCTGTCACAGGACATGGTCACCCAGCTGCCGGGGAAGGTGGCAGCCACCTCGGCCTTGTGACAACTTGGCACTTGGGGCTGTCTGAGAGTGTCATGGGCCCGGCCTGGGGCCCGTCCCTCCTGCCCAGGGAGGTGATGCTGAGTGAGGACTGCAGCACAGACACGAGCAAAGCAGCTCGCCACGGCTCCGGGCGCCTCCCTGCCGCCCCGCCACAAGGTTTGTTCCTGAAAAGGCCTTTTTAGAAGCGTCGGCGCTCAGAGGCCATGAGCAATGACCTTTCCCCCAAATTGACTCAGCAGCAAGGCCCTGCTCCTGCACTTGAGGAAGTCGCGGTGAGAGGTAGCGGGCTGCAGCCCCTAACGTAATAGGCAGCATTCTGGGTGCGGTGTGTGTGGGCCCTTGGTCTGGAGAGCGGCCCGTGCCTTTCGTGAGGGCCAGGGAAGTCGGGGCCAGCACCGGAAAGGCGAGGGCACGTGGGCTGGCCAAAGCCACCCCTACAGACCCTCAGCTAGGTGTGTTGGTTTGACTTTAATGTTAATTATTGGCTAACCTTTATAAACGGAGCTATTAATTCATTTAAATCCACATCTTTATCTTTCCTTGAAATAACTCGGGTTCCTGCACAGCAGCATTTGCCTTGGCAGAGTCCCCCCCCCAACCCTGGGCACTTGGGCCCAGCCTGGGCTCCCGGGGCGCTGGAGTTTGCAGCCTGGGCTCCGGAGTCGGGAGAGCTGCTGGCTACAGACTAGCACACCAGGTAGCTCTGCTTCGTAACTCTCAATGCGGCCCGAGTGGAGGTTTCATCTAGTGAATCTCACACATCATGCCAGGTACCAAAACACTGCTTGGATTTTTTTTTTTTTTAATTCTGGACATCCCATGGGATGTCTTCAGGCCCCTGCTGATGAGTGTGGGCTGAACCCACTGACCAAATTGGCGGGAGTTCGTCAGTTCTCTGCTCGGCATCGTGTTGACCCTGCCTGATTACCTGGCTGTGCCGGGGACTGCCCCTGAATGCCGGGGACACCGGAGGTGTGGGTGGGAGGAAGGAGACTTGCCATAGGCTTAGGAAGGCCTGCCGTGTGTGAATAAGGGTGCCCAGACCGCCCACCAGCTTGGTTGAAAGGATCCTCAGGGAGGGCGTTGGAGGGGTGCTGAGCTGGCACAACGCAAAGGCCCCCTCGCCCCCTGCCCTTGCCTTTGGAACCGCAAGCATCTTGAATTCCCCAGCTAAGGCTCGGGTTGAAATGCCAAGCTCCAGGTTTCAGTCAAATCTAGGGCTCTCTTGGATCTTAGGGGGACTGAATGTCCAACTGATCCCAAATCTTTGGGGGTTTAAGTTGGTCTGCATTTGGCAGGAGATACTTCCTGTTTCTAAGAAAAATGGCTTTTGAGGGCTTAAGAAACAGGCTCCAGGAGCTTTTGGGCTGCAGCGCGGCTCTTGCAAAACAGCATTTGGATGATTTACGTGTAAATGAATCAGAAACATGTGGATTAAATTTCCTTGTGAATACAGATGGGTTTAAAAATTAACGGAAAAAGTGTTTGGCAAAATACTTCTTTTTTTAATTGAGTCAAAAATGTCAGGGGTGGGGGAGGGGAAGCAGGAGGGGCGTGGGGGCCACGGGGCTCAGACCCTCCCCTGGTCGCCCTGTGTCTGTCTGCTGCAGGATGTGTGTGTCCTGGGGTCCCATTTATTTATTATTTTTTTTAGTGGCGCATTCCTCCAGACGTGAGATTTGGGAAATGAAAAAGGCCACTTCCTAGATGCAGTCATCACTGACAAGAACATTAATTTAAAATTAGAATTGCCAACAAAAAAAAAAGCAGTGACTCGTCCCGCCTGACGGCACGCTAAGCCGTCCCTGGGAGCCAAAGGTGGCTGCCATTGGCTTCTAACGCCAACATCTCTCCTGTCCGTGCACTTCACAGTTGCCATGCAGTTTTCCTGGTCTTCCAGACACCCCTCTGTGCCTCACACCCATCACGTGACGTGTGCTGTCTGGCATGGTGCCTATTTGATGGCAGAGGAGTGCCTATTGGATGGAAACAGCCCAGAGACGTTAAACAACGAACACAAGGTCACACAGCGAGTGTAGGGGCAGGAGGGACGGGTTAGAAATGATGGCAGACAATCTCTGTCACATCTTCCTTATAAGCTGAACCCGGGCCAGGCACCTCTTGTTGGTGATTGTACTTAGATCTTCAACAACTGTAGCAATGTCACAGTGTTTGCAAATACTGGTGAGCTGCATTTTCTAGCTAAGGAGGCAGAGGCTCGGGAGACGAGAAACCACCTCCGGGGGACAGCCACAGTAAGCCAGAGGCCTGTCTGTTGGATTCCGTGCTCTTCAAAACACTACACGCGGCTTCTTATCTTAGAACCCTTACCGGTAGGGAGGTTCTTGGTTACCCAAACAGCCTTCCCTCCCTTGCCCTCACAGGATCTCACCCCAGCTTTCCTAGGCTACAACTTTCTAGGGCAGGTTCAGAAACTTCTAGAAGCCTGCAGGAAGCAGTGGTACAGCAGACGTTCTGCAGTTGCACGCAAACCTGCCTTTTCCTCCTCCGAACTTTCTCCCGGTATCTCGGCCCGTGAGCGAGGCCTGCTGTAGCTGCCACGGCCCCTCCCAGGCCTGAGCTCGGGGAGAAGGCCCTAGGACTGCCACTCCGGTCACTGGTCTGTGAGCTACCAGAGCGCAGAGGCCCACGGCGTTTTGTAGAAAGTGCTAGCAGTTGGGATGGACCCATTGTTTTTTTAATATGTTGGAAGTGAAAGGGTGAGGAAAAAAGTGACACATAGAAAATTCTCACTGTTTTGCAAGATTTTGGGCTGTGACTTTCCCCGCGGCATTCAAACTATGCAACTTTCCCGTGATGTTTTAAAATTGAAATCAGACTTGGAGGGATGCTTAGCATCTTCAGCTTTGTTACAGACGTACACTGGCCGGTCTATGATTATGCTTAATAAAGTACATGTATATTTTATACAAAAACTCACTCCAGAGAAGACAGCAAGCACGTCTGTGGCGAACAGCTAACCGACATCGCGGTGTGTGGGTGTTTTCTCCCTCTTTGCTTTTTTTCTCAGTGAGAAAGTTTGGAGGCAGAGCCACTGACTTCCCTCTTCTCTTTCCACAGCGATCTCTGGCATGATTGTTCCTCCCATGTGAAAGAATTGCCTTGAAGAATTTTATTAATGAAGAGGTTGGATTCTGCTACAGAGAGAGTAATCTGATACAAGTCCCAGAGTGGAACTTTTAACTCAGGCCTTTTTAAGAGGAATCACAATTACTGCAGATTTTTAAAAACAAACAATATCACCGACCTTGCAAATACTGAAATTGGAAGGGATCTGTGAGTGCAGGGTGCTGGTTCAAGTTGTACCTCCCAGATGTTTGGGGGATATATTTATTCTGTGTCGATAAAAGCAAATCCACTTTTTCTTTCTTCCTTCCTTCCTTTCTTTCTTTTTTTTAAGCTTCACTCCACAGTCATTTGTCTTTTACGAACCGTAAAGCTGTACACACGGGACACTATAAATAAGACCCCATGTTTTAATTTATGATGTTTTTAAAGCTGTGTAAAGGGAGAATGAAGTGGTGATATTTACAAAAAAGTTAAAAAAAGAAAAAAGGAAAAAAAAAAGCTTGTATGGGACAGAATAGGAATGCCAGTTAGATTTTTTAGAAAACTAAGAGTTGGCTTTTGCGCCTTAAAGCATATCAAATGGTAGTTAGCTCAGACAGTGCATTTTCAGTATCTAACTTAACATGCCACCCCTTAGCAGTGCAAGCTTATTTATCTCTTTCGTATTGTTGTCTTAAGTAACTGTGTAAATAAATGCAGCCTGCAGAGTTACAAAGTGATGTTAAGTGATCACGTTTTTTCCCTTCTACTCAAAAATCCAGTGCCTCTAGACAGATCGTTAAAACTGCATATTTAAACCCAATTATCATTCTCGCTTTTAATTCTGTCAACTCCTTCCGAGGCCGGTGGCCTCTCGAGAGAGAGCTTGGTGGCACGCAGAGTGTGAGAGAGTCCCCTTTGAATCTTCATGGAACAGGGTCCAGGCACAGAATTCCGCATGATGCCCTCCAGTGATCAAGCCAAAATCCCTCTTACACTCCCGCCATCCGCAGCAAGGTAAAAGTTTACTCATCCCGAGTGCTGACTTCACACAGATCCTCCCAAAGCTGACAAAAGCAAGCTGGAGAGAGAGATAGGGCTCCTATCAGTCGACCCTTGTATTTGTAACACAGTAGATCCAAAGGATAGGTGAAGTGCTTTGGAATCAAGAGTACAAGAAAACTGGGGGAAAGGAAAAGAGGGTTGAGACCTCCAAAACACAGTTTTCTGTTCTACGGAAATGTTTGCTCTCATTATCTGGAAAGTGTTCTTAAAAAGAAGGATAGCAAAGATGCAGCAAAGCTACGAGGATGCATTTGCCTGATATTTTTTTCTTTGCTGTTGTGTTTTTGTATGTAGTTATAAATACTGTAGATTTTTTTGTGATTTTTTGCCAAAGTCGTCGTTCTATTTATACATTTTAATGTCTTAAGACAGTTTTTCAATATCACAAAAAGATTTTACGGCATATTTTGCAAAGGAAAAAAAAAAGGCTCACTACGTTTAGCTTGCACATGTTTGCAAAGTTAATTAAAAGGCTTTCTGTTTTAAAGAGGATTTTGTAAAATATCCATATAAATAATGTATTTATCTTTGGAATTTGTACATTGCTTTCCCTTTCTTCCTTTTCCTCCCACCCTCTATTTTATTGTGTATGTTGGCTATGTGAAAAGTGCATATTTGTTTGTTCACCTACAGTTGTATTAGCTGTTTCAATGTGATTTTTAAACATTTCATTTATAGTTATTTTTAGTATTGTTTTAAAACCATGCTTCAATTTTTTTAAAATTTCCACCCAAAAGCCATTGTCTATTTTTGTATTATTTGTAAGTTAAGAAGTTTTTTCCAATATATGGCAAAAAAAATAGTAGCATATTATTCTTGTAGCATTTAGTTCTGTAGATTAAAAAAATGTATCCTTTGCTTTGAAAGCTTACAAAAAAAATCCAACCCTAATGCTGTTTTACTCTATTAATATGCATGGAATCTCTCCCTCTGGAGTGACGCATTTTGTGCATTAAATTCGGGGGAGAAACTTCATAGAAATCAATGAACATTCTTTCTTAAGTCTGCTTGTATATTTCCTCTGTCTTTCACATAAATATAAACCAGCAGATTGGATGCCTTAACAATGCAAATCATATTCATTTCACTTGTACATTGTAACTGTGCACCAGAACTGTCAGTCATCACTAACATTGTAAAAAAACAAAAACAAAAAAACAGAAAAAAAAACAAAAAAACAAACAAAGAAAAAAAACAAAGAAATCGAAAAGCACAAAAGAACTCTTTTGTTACCTTAAGACAATGTAACTTTTTCTAGTAGACAAGAAATTTACAACAATGCTGCAACTGTGCATGCCCCCGTATGGATTTTGCAATGGTTTTCACTAGACTGTCAAGAGTGCGATTTTTATGGGTTGGGGTGGGTGGGGGAGGGGAGTTGTGGGAGGGAAGGGAAGGGAGGAAAGCTGATTTTTCATGGTGAGAAATAATAATACTGATGATTAATAATAATAAAAAAAACTGGAAAATGTAAGCAAGGTGGACGCATTGCTTCTCGGTACTCAGAAAGGTGGTCTGAATTCGTGTGGTAAGCGCTGGCCTGAAGATGTGTACAATTTAAAGCCATATTTTGTCTGGTGAGCCCCTGAACTGTCTGTGAAGGAATGGTCAGCCGGGGAGGCGCCCGGCGCAGACCCTGACAACAAACGCCACCCATCTGTCAGCCATGTGTAGTGGTTAGAACTTTTCCTGAAAGTCCAAAGAGCCTTTAAAATGAGTTTGTGTTTTGTTGCCCCTTATTTCCATGGATTAGATGAAAAGATGTGCTTGCCCTCTGACCCTCCTTCTTCTACACGAAACTGTTACAAGTAAAAGATGTTCCCCTGAATACAGAATATGGCTTTAAGAAGAGAAGGAAATAGAGAATTAAATTAAGATTTCGGTTTTGGGGGAAAAATACAGCTTCTGGATGACTGGATTGCCTAACATGCCCTGGCCTCATATTGTACTAGAATGCAGCTTAACGAAGTCATCTCTAAATCTACTAACCTTTCACCTTCCTATCCAACTTTTTGAATAGACACACACTGTACAGTTCAATTGTTAGAGAACCTAACTACTGTAGAGATTGTTATAATTTTTTTCTTTTGCAAAAATTCAAGCTGTAAAAACTTTTCAACTTTCACAATATTTAATTAAAGTTACTTCCTGTCTGTGATGGCAGCTCCTAGTTGTGTATTCATTTCCCTATCTCAGATGAGTCAAAGCCCAACATAATGCAGATGGTCTGTGCTTGCAATTTACTCAGGCCAGTGTTGACACCCAGAGAAAAGAAATTGGGGTGGTCCTGGGACACCCACTTTCTCTGTGAATCCTTGGGGATTTGCTAATCTGGGATGCAAATTGAACACACACAGCGTACTGCTGCCCTCTGCTGGCAGCAGCTGGACGCGCATGTGCCCACGCTGGCCCACAGAGCAGTGAGAGCCCCAACAATTTCCCCAAGCCAAGCTGTGAGATCCCCCGCTGTGACAGAACTGCGAATCCAAGACCTGGCCATTCTAGAACACCATCCTCTGCACTACAAGTCTGAACCGGGCTCTTTCCATACAGCTGCTAATTAATCCCTGGGAGCCTTTTGGTCAATTAATTATGTGCCCTGGCTCATTGATGAGGAGACGAGTGTGAACTCAGAATCTTCATGGCTACAGTTTTAAACCCCGTGTGCACGAGACTCGTTCCCTGTTGGCTCCAACCTAATTTACATGGTTCGAACGTTCCACAAACACCCAATAGGTACATAATCCTGTAAAACTGTCTCACTTTCAGTTTCATCACGATCATAAGTCTTCCCAATTGCACATTCAATGCTTTTCCTACTTTGCGATTGTTGGACATGATAAGGGTAATGATGCTTGTAAAATGTCTCGAGAACTCAGCAAATAGGCCGTAGACCAACAGAAACTTGATGGTCAGAGCTAATAGGGTGTCACACAACCGCCAGCGTGATCATTTGTGCCGGGCATTGTTGATACACGTTTGCTCTGGAACAGAGCCCAATTTGAGATAATGACAGAGTGTAATGAATTAAGTTAATAAGTAGAGAAGCTACCATCCTTTACCTAAACAGCGAATCTATGTTGATTAGTTTGGCCATTCAATACACACTTCTGGAATTCTATATTAGATGCAGGCCCCTGTATCAGATGCAGAAGATTTTTAGTGAACAAGAGGCGTCTGCCGTCAGGAACTTCACCATGTCAGATAAGACAAATCTACACTCAATAAAAGTAGTCTTGAGTAGTTAGACTGAGACAGACATGCTGCGATGCTCCATAGAATAGAACAAACATCCACATCTCGGTGTGCTGGCTCCTACTTTCCTGAAGGCCTATTTCATGGAAGCATTCATTCATTTGTTCATTCACCTCAAAGGCTCACTGGCCCCAGGCGAGTCTTGGTGGGTCCACAGTGAGCACAGAGACACTGGTTCTGTCCTCAGGGAGCTTCCAGTTGAGTGGGGCAAGCAGACATTTCGCATCCACACAAGTATAGCCTAACAGACCAATAATGTCACTGAAGACAAAGTCGCAAGTGCTCTAAAAATACCCTATTTTGCCATGTATAATGCTCATTTTTTTGCCCAAATTTTTGAGGGGAAAAATAAGCATGCATATGATACATGGGCATAATGATTATATACCATGGGTATAATAATGGGTATAAGAATCTCACATATAATGCATGCAAAAATGTGGGAGCACATCATACATGGCAAAATGCATGTGCTGCAGTGGGATCTGATTTAGCCTGAAGAACTGGGGAAGGCTTCCAGAGAAAGTGACACTTGAGCTGAGACGTGAAGGATGAGGTCACCAGGTGGGATGCGCACCGCAGGCAGATGGAATGAGGGCAGGCATAAGGATCTGAGCCCTGGGCATAGATGTGGTGCGTTCAAGAACAAAGTCTGCATGAGTGGCATACGCATAAGTGCAAGATGGCACTATGGAACTTGGGAAGTCAATTCCAAACGCATGCTGAGCACTTACTATGTGCTTGGCACTGCACTGGTTGCAGGGATGCACCTGGTAGACCAGTCATAACTCCTGCCCATAGGGCCTAAGGCACAGCTGGTACACTCGCAGCCTCGAATCTGTCCACAGGGGCTGCGCTGGCTAAGAGGGGGTGGGGGTGGGGGGTGAGCTGGTGTAAAAGAGGACACGGAGCACCTCACTTACTCCAGGCAGTGGCTCCCACCTGGGAGAGTGGGTCCGGCGATGCCCATCTTTTGTTTCTTGAGCATGGGGGTCCTGGGGCTTGGGGGGTGTGTGTGAAACTTTCATTTCTTTAAATGTTGTCATCTAATCCAAAAATAGTGCTTTCAAAACACTGCGTCGAGCAAACAAAATCCGTGAGCTCTCCAATGTCAGCTTGGGACTTCTGGCCTAAACCCAAGTTGCCGAAGGGGATGTTTGCACAGCCTGGTTTGAAGGTCAGAGAGATGGGCCCTGTCAGTGGGGGTGGGTCAAGGGGTGCTGCAGAGCAGGGCACGCCGGAGCAGTGTGGACAGCGGCTCTCTAAGCCAATGAGGAAAAGCAGGGCATGGCAGGCCATGGTCAATGCCTTTGGAGCCGGCCGTATGAGAAAAAATTACTTAAATTAGTGGAAAGGAATAGGAATACTATGGGAAAATGGACTAGGTACGTGAAAAAAATCCCCTCTACTCTGCAGTAGCCATGTTCAATGCAAAAATCATAGATTGGCTTTGTTTCTTTTCAACTCCTTTGGCCTAGGGAAAGTGTCTCATGAGCGAGCTCACTTCTCAGTAGACTGCCAGAGGCATGAACGCTTTCCGGCACACCCGGTTCGGGGCCAGGCCTGCCCTACAAGGCTCCAAATCACTCACATCCTCAGGAATGCTGCTCCTGGGATTCCTATCCTCTCCCTCCAACATCAGCAATTTCTCCTTCCTGAACATTACCCTCGGATTACTGTACAAATAGGATTCTTCCAAAACATCTATTTTGACCTCACTTTGCTTTTAATCCGACCCTCGCCTTTCTGCCCCCTTTTAGAGCAAGGGCCCTCTAACGAGTTTGTGTCTGTCTTGCTCTCTCCTTCATTTCTCTTAGCTTGTTATCCATATACATCTTTACAATACATCTTTACTGTAATGATGAGTAGTGAGCCTTCCACATTGCAAATGAGGGACTGGATGTACATTGTAGAAGCATCATCCTCGCTGCTGTGTAGAGGATGAACTGGAGAGAGGCAGAGGGGAGAGGGAGGGCAATTAGGAGACCGCTGCAAGGGTCCAGGCAAGGGAAGAAGAAAGAGCTTAGACTAGGAGAATGGAAAGCAGGAAGGCAGGCAGGACCGGAAGCGGTCAATGCTGTGATTCTTGTCAACCACACAGTACTACACAGTTCAGTGTAACTGAGGGACGAGGTCTTAAATGTCCTCACCGCAAAATGGAATGATGATTCTGTGACCTGATAGAGGTGTTAGCAGAGGCCACGGTGTCCATGAATATGTAAATTCACATGTCGAACACCTTAAACTTACACAACAGTATGTGCCAATCATGTCTCAATTTAAAAAGATATTTGGGGGATAGAGCCACCAGGGTTTGGTGACTGATACAACATGGGGACTGAGGAAAGGAAAAAGAAAAAAAAGACAAGCTAAAACTCAATTTTTTGACGGGGGCCACTGCTCTTGAAGATGGGGTTCGTTTCGCAGGGCTGTTTGTCGGCCGTGAAGCTACGAAGTCACGAAGCTCCACCGTGAACTTGTTCCCTTCCCACTGTTCCCTTCGCGTTCCTTCCCTCTCCTCCAAAGGCTTCTATATTTACATGAGGAATGAAATTCAGTTTCCGGAACTGGAAATATTTTGTTATTATTATTTTTTTTAATCTTGAGCATCAAGCAGTGTTATCTCTTCTCTCTGGAGAGTTAGGCTACAGTGGGGCTGATTTTTATCTACTTAGCATACTTTTTTCCCACTGATTGTACAATCGCCACATTCTATATTAAGAATGAGAGTTCTGAGCCCCGGGAGTTCCGAGCCACAGGCCCGAAAGCCGGCTTTGGCAGGAAATGCCTCGCCCAGGGAGTTATGCTGTAAGGAGACGCTGCTGCTCTGCAAGGACTTAACAAAACATCGACAAAAAAGAGGGTGGCGCCCTGTGCAAGTCCATTCTTTCAATCACACGGATTTGGGGGGATTCCCCCAGGGCAGTCGTGGCCAAAAATGAGGGTGCAAGGAGAGATGAATTAGGACCGGCAACTGCGGTCTGTCCTCTGACGCATCTGTTTACTCTCACCGAGGACTTCTGTAGCGCTGGGCACTGTGCTAAGTGTGTCTTCAACGGACCCATTTCCTCCCCTCACTAGTGCCTGAGG